AAAAATTGCATGAATTCGTAGTAATAATCAAGGGTCGCGGTAGCGCCCCAAAGGCAAGCTTGAGTCATTGGATGGCAGCATGCCTGACGGCCACTCCGCGGTACCCTTATACAGGGTGTTCCAAAACTAGTGTAAGATATTGAAATGGGAGGTTCCTGACGTAATTTTAAACAACATTTTCCTTAGCGAAAAGGTTTTCCGAAGCGTGGTTGAGGAGGTATTTACAAAAAAACCCCGACCAATCAGGGCGCTCTGTTGACGCGATCTGCGAATCGGGAGCGTTAGTTCGGATCTGGACGCCCGGGCAACTTTTTCGCTAAGGAAAATGTTGTTTAAAATCACGTCATATCTTCCACTAGTTTTGGAACACCCTGTATACACGTAAATTCAACATTTTGAATTTCATTATAATTCTACAATGAATAATAAAAAATCAGGAAACAGGAAAAACAGAAAATCAGAGATGATCGTATTTATCGAAAAGACAGTCGCATGCCTTCGCCTAATAAAAGGCCCTCCATCCTCCGCTCGAAAAGGCTCTTGTAGTCCTGTATCAGCTCGAACATAGTCAATATCTTTCGTATCCTGTCGCAGAACGAATCGAACCTTCCAAAAACGTGAGTCTCCGAGAACGAGAACTCTTGTTCAGTCACAGCTGGCGAGCATCGAACTAATCTGTAGGTCTCTCTATAAGCTCTATACAAATCAATAAAATAATATTATTAATCCTTATAATCAATCTCTACAGATCGAAACAATTATTGTATGTCGAATTTTTTAATTGGTTATTTAATTTTATGGCATAATCATTCGATTTTCCACATGCGTTATACAGGGTGGTCAAAAAAACCATTCAATATTTATATGCTATATAGGATGCACTATACTGGGTAAAGAAGCTTTAGTAATAGTACTTATATTGTTCACCAAGGGCCTAAAATGGGTCTTTTCGGGTGAGGTTGATGTTTGAGCACGAGTGGCAGTCGAGGGCGCCACAGGCGCCCGAGATGAACACTAGCTGCTCAAATCATCATCCGGGTCTGGAAAGGTCCATTCGGCCCGTGTCGCACATCGTATTTTTTTATAAAAAGGGCATAAAAAAGACCATCTTTCGTCGTCTACAAAGCGCAGAATATAGTTTGTCGAGTTCTCCACTTGAATATGTGACATATTATACAGGGTGTAAACCTACTAGTGGGCAATATTTTAAGGACGTGTTCTATGTTAGAGTGCAGGGACAACAGTGTAAGTACTAGAAAATTTTTAAGTGAAGAGTGACAGTGGTGTAATGAAGTTGAGTTTGTGTATAAAAATCAATCAGCTGCTTTCAAAGATGTGTATTGATAGAACGTAGAAGCAACAATCTTAGTGTGTTAAAATGTTTAAGAGTGACAATGATCATGCGGTTTATTGCGGGGTTCCTTCCCTGGACAGAAGATCAGCTGTAGCCTACCTGCGAGCGGCAAAGACGCTGAACCATTGACCGTGACCCATTGTGAGCAGGTGCACTTGCGAATGAATGAGTAAGTCTAATCTTTAAAGTTTTCACATTTTCTTTTAAATTCAATATTGCCTGCGACTTGTTAATTCCTCGTTTATCCTATCATCATCCATCAATTATCAACAATCTATCATTTCTCCATCCATTGCACGTGAATAACGATTAAGTGTATTAATTGTTATTCATAAGAATGCACGAACAACAATTTCCTTGCATTGTTATTCATGCAGTTTGTTAAACGCTTCGTACTGAGCGGTGCGCTTGTTCAAACGCGTTAAAGGTCGGCCGGCCGGATCGGAGCCAACGCTCCTGAGCTGAAGCGCGCGCGAACCGAGCGCTCTGATTGGTCCGTGCTTTTTGTTAATAACTCCTCAACCACGCCTCGGACAACTTTTTCGCAAAGGAAAATGTTGTTTCAAATCATGTCAGGAACCTCCCATTAAAATTCCTTACACTAGTTTTGGGACACCCTGTACAAACTTCATCTTCTTGGTTCCCATCATAAAACAGTACAAATTAATTTATGAGAGTTAAAAATATGAATGATGATTGTTTACTGTGAGAATTCTCGTTACTTGTTCAATCTGAGACAATGTTTCAACTTAGACCGTGCCATCGCTCGATCCTGGCCCCAGACAGTCTCCCGACCTCTGTTCGTCACGTAATCTCGACAAGCGACGATCATCTGGTTCGTGATTTTAATCATCAACGAACTAGTCCTCTCCGAAGTGTTATAGTATCTCGAGACGCTGTATATCAGTCGAACCGTTTGCAACAGCGAGACGAGGGAATCTCTCATTTTTATCTAAAAAATATTTATTATAAACGTCACTATGCAAATTAATTAAAATAAAACAACAATTTAACCTAATATGATATAATTTTACTGGATCGTCCAGATATAAACAGTGGCAGCATTTTTCTAAGGCCTGAATAAATTTCGCATTGTCCTTAGCTTCGTTATAACAATAAGTCACTTCGCTCTCAGCGTCGACCCAATCTTTTATCAATTTCGAACGAGCTACTTGCAAGCAGAGAAGCGACATTTGTATTTCATGGTCCTGCACACAAACGTTGTCTGATTTATACAATTATTTCAATTAATTATTATTAATTTAAAGAAGCAGCACCTGCAGTTTGTTGACTAGTTGACTAAACTGAGCTCCCCTCCTTTTCCAGTACTCCAATTCCTGCTGCGGTCCGGAAGTGTCGTTCTCCCGTTTCACTTGTTTGCTCTCTACCATGAAATCCTTCAATCTTTTCACCCACGTCTTCACCCTCTCTTCCACGATGTTCACTGCGTTCTCTCTTATTACGAACGCCTTTGCTTCCTCGAAATTGTGCACTTCTCCCATCAGAGCCTCACCGTCTTCGAATATACGACCTTCCTGGGCCACTTGCTCGCACACTAACGAAATATATCACATATTCCTTCATAATATAAATTATGTACATATATACTCTATTTCCCGAGTGACTAGGAGTCGGCACGGTTCAGTTTTCGGTCGTTCTGCGCATCTCCCACCCACATTTACCACTTCCCAATACAAGCGTGTCCTTATTGTCCTATCGTGTATAATGAACCGTAGTCGGTGAGG